GAACAGCAGAAGGCCTCCTCTTGTCTCCCTTTGGCACATCGGCTGCTTCATTGCCAACTATAAAATATGTCCTAGTATTCGGCCAGTGACGCTCCTAAAAATACATTCCCATTAAAGCCAACAGCATACCGTGTTGTCTGCCATGCGTCCTCCCCCTGTGTATCCCTTTGACAGTGCGCTAACGAAGATCTAGCGGTGTGTTTGGCATCCCGACCTCACTTGATGTTTTCTTCCCCAAAAGTTTTTCCTTGTTCTTGACAATGCATTGCAAAGGAACAGCCTGTTTATTTTGACACGCACATGTACAAACAACTCTGACACGCTTACATAAAAGTTTGTCACCTTTATCTCTCAATATTAACAGTGATTTCAACAGAATGACATTATTTACATCTTTCTTTTGTTCAGCGGTAACACAATGCGCTGGTATTTAATGTATTTCCTGAGCAGGGACAACAGAGACAGAAGAGGATCAGAATATGTGTAGGAGTGTGAATAATCAGACAATTTGAAGACTAGTTTTACAAAAAGAGGAATCCTTTGTAACACCTTCACCTTAAGTCAAAAGGTTCATGCAATTAATACATGAGAAATGGGGCATGAATAGTGGTGTAAATGGCAGAATGTCTGTAGCAGTAGTTTATGCATGTATAAAACTGTATTTAATATTCAAAGTTTCAACCTTGGCATTTCTGTGGTCCATGCTGTGAATATGAAGCTATGAAGGTTTCTGTTCAAATTATTATACAAACCAGGCTCAACATTATGACCTCTCCATGTGAGCATATAACAGATCAGAATCTCATTCTTGTGCTGTGTTTTAGTGATTGTGTTTATGACTTTATAAAATGTGGCCCAAGGAGCAGAGGTGAACCCAGGTCATACGCATTGGAGAGAGATGTTTCAACAGAAAGCTCTGATTGTGCAAACAACAGAGCTGACACTCTGTTTACTCCTCATTAAGTACAATGTAACACACGGTCTAACAACATGTAATCACCTGTCCTCTGAATGTAAATTGTAAGAACCTACAGTAGCACATAATCCACAACCTGCTCTATGTAATAACATATCTCTGTAATCCCTCATTTGTCCAGGAGTGGTCCATGGACATTTATTACCATGAGCCTGTAATAACATGTAACCCCCAAAAAACATACTGTATAACAACTTGTATTAGCCTGTAACTCTGAACAAAGTTCTTTGGAACAACAGCATTTACACTTGCATACAGACCACATCAAAACTGGGACTTAATTGTGGTTTAATCCTGATTTAAACCTGAACTAGTCCAGTACTAAACCAAGTCTACATTAGGATTAGACTGAGCACAAACCAGGAGCAAACAAGACAAACTGTTAAAGACACGTAACATGTAAATCTGAAAGTGACACTGTGAAACAACCTGTAATGCCACATAAAGCTGAATATAAAACACTGTGTCTGTTACATTGTAATAAATGAGGTAGTTACAGTTCATGAACTCAAATGTGCTCAAGAATATTAACACCATATTAAGCGAGAGGCTGTAATGTTATGCCTGGTGTACACAGACAACAACAAAAATTAACACTACAGTCATAAGTCCCTTTTAGGCACAAACATAATTATTCTTGTACAAAAGTATAAATGTAAATAAACATAATTACAGCTAGTTATAAAATAGAGATGTGGTTCTGTGAAATGTGTTTCATGTTTTGAATGAAGCACAAGAACATTGGCTCATTATTCATGCTTGGTTTCAAACAGTACTTTACACAGCATGTAAACAACTGAATACACAGCAGTGAAAAGAATGTTTGCAGGAAAACAATGTTATGTGTGCAGCTGGTGGGTGTCCCCTCTGCCACATCCAGCTGCAGGAGAACTTGATGATTTACACTTGAAACGCTCTCACAGGCGTGCAATATGATACCTGTGTGCTGACGGTTATTTTTTCAGTCTTGCCAGCTCATATGACCAAATTTACCCCACCAAGTAACTTTTAAAAAGTTTTCTACCTCTGTTTCAGAATGTATGACATGTCAGTGATGGGCAGCACAAGAAATAGTGGATAGCCTGCTATTGTCAGAATCAAAAATATGATGTCCAATCATGAGGAGTCATTATCAACAAATAATTTGGTTTATAATTACCCTATTCACACCCTAAATAAAGCAAGTAAGACTTCATTAATGATGAACAAATAGTTTAGTTTTTAAGAATGACTTTTAAAGTCTTAAAGAAGGCTTATTGTGCTTGAGTCAATATATAGTTTTAAACTATGGCATCCATGGATGATTATGTTGTAATTTAAACATTATTTATCACAATATTTATTGACTTAATAAAAAAAAAGTGTGCTCTGACTTCCGCATTAAACTGCTGTGTACAGTGGGAGCTGACATCTCCAACATCATCACAACAAAGTGCCATCTTCGATGGATAACTGCACTTCACGCGTACGAGCAGCAGATTTATTTTTTTTCACATCACAGTGAAAACAAAAGTGGAGAACAAAGTAAGTACAGAGCAGTTGGCGTGTACTGGTGGCGGTGAAAACGGGGGTTGATCGAAGCAATGAATATAGGAGTATAAAGATTACTCACACTTGCTTGAGTCATGCTGAATAAAATATGAGAGGGGAAACAAGGAGGGGAAACCACTATAACATCGATAAAATCTCTGAAATGTTGTTTTTGCATAATAGGTCTGCTTTAATAAACTATGTGTTCATCGTGAACTAAGTCTTTGTTCATGCTTTATTAAGGCCAATTAAGGTGTAGCTATTTTAAAGTGTTCCCAATAATTCCAGTGAATCTTGTGACTCAAGACAAATAAGCATTAGCTCTGAACTTGAAGTAATACAGTATGGTTTGTTTGTTTCTGCTTTTAAAGGAAATTGGTGGAAAATTGTTGACATTTTTTCCTGGAGGTATTTCTTAATCAAATAAAAAGTATAAAAATATGTACAACTGTGGACCCTGAAATTGCTCTGTATCTATGGCTACACTGTACAGTGAGTTATCTTTCGGATGACTAAACACTCCTGTCTGACATCAGTAAAATGCTGGTGTGGCTGATGTTTGAAACACAGCACAAGACAACATTTTAAAGCAACACTACGTAACTTTTTAACAGCAAATGTACAAATGTGAATATAGAATGTTTTGTCTCTTTTAGCAATAATTTTTTATTTTTTTTTTTGCGATAAATGACCAATTTAAGTAGTTATTAGTTGGTTATTTTTTTCATAGCAGCATTCAGTTGATTCACTTACAACCCTACTTATTGATTTGACAAGTTATACAGTGTTGCTCTAAAATACACCAAAAGTATAGTGAAGATCAGTCTCTGAATATGTGTAGACAAAAACATCTCCAGTGTGTTATAACAAAGTTCTTGGCATTAAATAACGTTCTAGTGGAGAAACATGAAGCAATAAAGTTAAAATGCACCTCTCCATAATAGGTCCAAGAGGAGCAACACTTTTGTATCTTTGCCAACCTGGGTTTAAAACAGTTCCCATCCTGTGAGGAGACAGAGATTTGGGAGATAGAGTGAGAAAGAGAAAGAATAGAGAGAGAGAGCTGTCTGGTGCTCAGTGAGAGAAAACACAAATGAACTGACACATATCGGAGGCGCTTTCCCAGACACAGCTTGTGGCTTTCTGTATGCTGTGGGTGATGAGTGCAGCAGGCAGGTTGATCCTTCCCTTTTATGGAGGCGTGACCCTGTGTATGAGGACGTGCTGCTGGTGTGAACGCTGCAAAACATGAACGTCTAGCCTTGGTTAAAATGACTTGAAATTTGAATATTATTATGTGACTCTTCTGGTTAACAGTCCATCACCTGTTAGGCTTATGGAGATTGTTTTGCTTGGAATGTACCACAGTATGGCATTAAATGTATCAATCTTACATTTATTCATTTATAGGTGTTTTTAAAGCTCAGTACATTAAAAAAGCCATTCATTCTTCACAGATCTGACCTGTTAAGGGACAATCAGTAATTTTGGACATAGGACCTCATTTCCTAGTGAGCCAGAGTGTTGGAGACGTGTGGAGACACTTTTAAAAAATATTCCACCCAGTCCTTGCATTAGCAGAGGTTGCTAGCGCTGTGCTAGCACATGTCAATGGCCATGGTTAGCCTGCCACTAAAAACTGTCTTACCCACTCAACAAAGTAGCCGAAGCAAATCTGTTAATACGCCAAACTATCAGTGTAAATGTCTGTGTTGATAGAATAATGTTTGAAATAAAACTAACTTTGCATCGCATGAATAGTCGCATGTTGAGGGACTATTTTCTCAGCAGCAGCGGAATTCTACTTTGCCTGGAAGTTAGGTGCTAGGTGATATCAGTCCGTCGCTGCCAAGCTTTCTATCAAGAAATACAAGTCACTGCTGCTGCTCAGACATAAATCCTTCAAATGTAAGGTTGGTTTTACTTCTAAAATTATTCTATCAACACAGACATTTACATCGGCACTCTGGCATGCTTTGTGGAGTGGGTAAGATTATTTTTAGTGGCAGGATAATTATGGCCATTGACATGCACTAGCCTAGCACCAGTGACCTCTGCAAATACAAGGACTGGATGGAATATTTTAAAAAAGTGTTTCCACACGTTTCCAACAGTGACTCACTAGGAATTGAGGCCCTATGTCCAAAAATCCGGACTGTCCCTTTAACTGTCAATTGTTCGTCTCCATCGAGGTAGGCAAGTTTAATGTCATACTGTGGGACATTTAATGCAAAACAATGGAATTTCTATGGAGGTGGTGTTTTACTTGAAACTTTTACCTTGAGTAAGAAAATTAATCTGCCAATTTTGTCACCTCTTTGAAAAATAATTTGGTTTCTGGAAACAAGAAACAATCTGTTGAAATAACAACTCAACTCAACAAAACTACTTATAATATGAGTAATATTTTGAGTGATTTTAACTCATCTTGTTTTGTTCTTTTTTCTTTTTGCAGTGATGACACCTCTACTGAGCATGCCCAGTAGCACCCCCATCAGCGCTGTCGTGAGAACAAGTTTCTCAGAGCGTTGTTGTAGTTCTTGTTAAAGGCCGTGTATATTAAGGGGTTAAAGAAGGAGTTGGAGTACCCTAACCAGAGGAAGATACTTTTCCATATGGGCGGTATGTCACAGGAGCAGAGCGGCACGATGAGCTCTGTAATGAAGAAGGGAATCCAGCAGAGAACGAAGACCCCGATCAAAATGCCCACCATCAGGGCCGCCTTCTTCTCCTTCTGCTCGCGCCATGTGTCCCCATCCGTCTGGAAGGTCACGGTGGCGTGGCGTACCGTAAACACCATCTGTGGCTGCTGGGTCTCATCCTTTACCTGCACAACCCAGAGACAAGACAGCGCTCCGTAAATCTGTTTTCTCTTCCATTTAATACTCCCACAAACAGAATCTGCATCAAAACACAGCTAGCAATTACCGGGGTGAGAAAACCATCTCTGCTTGACAAAAGATGGATTAGAATTCAGAATCAACAGGTGCACCAAGAAAACTAGAGCTTATTCCTGCGATTTCATATGCACGTATTCAGGAGCTTAAAGCCTGCGCCGCGAAATCTGCTGTTTTCCCAGACAATAAAAACATCTACAGTAATCTCTGGGATTACTCCGCTCAAGACTCAAGTTTGGATTTCATTATGTAACAGGTAAAGTTAGGATGGTCACTATAAAGTCTTAGTAGCTGTCAGCATTTATATGTAAGGTGAAGCAAGAGGTAACTGCCAATTGAACGTCTCGATCATTGGAGGTTACTGAGGCCAACAGCAGATGAGTGAATACAGTTAAAGGTCCCATATTACACAAACTTTACTCTTGTGAGCTTTGAGCCATGTACGAATATTGTTACTTCCTCAAAAACATACCTGGAGTTGTGTTTTGTTTCATTCACACATTGTTATTAGTCTGTCTACATCTCCAAAGCTAAAAATACTGTTCCACCTTCATGTCATGAAGTGGTAGTTTTCAAATTAACAGCTACTTTTACCTTTAGTTCAGCAGAAATTGGAAATTCGGGGGCTGAAATTATCCGAATGGCTGAAGTGAAAGTGTAAGGAGTTTCAAAATGCAATGGAGCACTTCCCGTAATACCACATGACATCACAAAGTGGAACAGAATTTTCAGTTGGAGAGAAGAAAGTGCTGATCCGGAGCTTATGGCAGACTGTGGTTAGAGAGTTGTTAGTGAAATATGGGTTTCAGATGCTACCACGTTATATCTACACTATGTGACAGACATGGGGGAACAAAATGTGGTCAGATCGTCTTCTCTCCGCAGAATCAATGACAGTGTGATGCAACTCTAAGCTCAGAAAGTGTAACGCATCTATCAAAAATATTAACTTGGGAATAAATCTGCATGCTCTGCGGAGTAACTGCACTGAGCGTATTATACCACAATAGATAAAGAAAAGAAAAATACTATGTTTCTGTATATGCCCGAGGTTGTATGTGCATTTTTCTAAAGAGTATGAATGTGAAATTCTGCGACAGATGAAGTGTGGGGAAGGGCCTCTGTGGTGTAGGCTGGGTGTATTCTGAGACCTTTTTGTTCAAGGGTTAGTGGGCGTAAGACTGTGCCCCAAGATCTATTCGTGTGCTGTTTTGTTACCATGGAATATTAAGACTTAACTTTTTAGAACAGATAGTGATGGTATTGGAACTACAAACTGAAAATATCTTTACAAAATGTCCAGAAAAGATGCACTATGTCACATTTCTGGTGTAGGATCGACCGCTTGCTTGTTTCCATGGAGATGTTATAGTATGGCCATAGACTGTATATATAAATGGACATGACTAACCCGTGAGCTGCCACGTTCTAAATAGGAAGAGGCTGTAACTGCTGCAGTGAGCCTTGGCATTTTGGTCTTAAAATGTTCGTATGAACCTGCTCTACATGATCCTGGTTTTATATGGAACTCAGCTCCCTATTCGCTCCTATAATAACTAGCCTCATGAGTTTCATTTGACTGGAGCCATCCCATAGCCTGATTCATGAGCTGGTTTCACTTCATGGAAACTGTCTTTATGGTAGGCGGGTACTTTTTTTATTTAACCAATCGCTGCTATTTGGTCGTGACATAAGTAATGCACCGCTAACAGGACTAACTGGTATATTAAGCTTTTCCCAAATCCTGTAGGAAGAAGGGCAATAATGCCTTTCCCCTTGAAAAAATTCACCAAACATTCTCTTTGTACCAGCTTTAAATCCTCGATCTCGGGAATCGTTGCCAACACAGAATGTATGGCTCTTCGCTGATTGGCTGTTGCCCGGACTCGCACTTCTGGGATTCTTGGAAACCGTCTAGTGTATTCCAATTCCTGAGCTAGTCACTGGAGACAAATGAAACTGAGCGGCGGCACTAGGTGGCGCCAGCCTGGCTAGCCAATTGCTATGGGTGACGTCACACTCCCTTAGTCCACTTCTTTATACAGCCTGGCTTTAAACATCTCCATGGAGACAAGCAGGCGCATGTTTTCCCAAGTATTAGTGAGCAATGAAAACAAATAAAAATGATTCTTGACCAGCTAGTATTTTCTACTCTCCTCAAATCCAACTTATAAATCTGACAGCTCAAATCCATAATGGTCTTGGGAAGATTAAACCGCCACAGCTAATTTGTATCACGTGGAAGACATTTCGAAAATCCTCATATTTTTCAGAACAAAATAAATGACTTTGTTTACCTGAGACAAATAAGAGTGTGGTGCTTCGATTGTTGATTCTACAGAAATGTGCGCTGTTTCTCTGTCCTCTTTGTTAATGTAGAGAAGGTTTCAACTGTGAAAATTGCTGTATTTTACTTTCCACCTTTGCCTCCAGGTGATGTAACTGTTCTATATACTAGAGACAAGTGCTCCATTACAGCTCCTCCTGATGACAGTGGCCTGGTGTATGAGGCGCTGAGGGCAGGGGGAATATCAAGGTGAGACCAGGGAGTCCTATGTGGGCCACTTCACCGCTCCAAATGAACACCTATGGGAGAACCAATGTCCTCCGCTATCATTATAAATAACAGAGAATGGTCCTCGCGTCTGTGGAGTCAGAGGTATGAAGACGCTCTGATAATGCACGGCAGCCAGCAACTTTTCTGCCCTGTCACTATTTTGAATAATTCATAAAGCGCCCATACAATACGAAACAACAAAACAAAAGGACACCTGGGGGATTTAGGTTACATATTTATTTACCATGACAATATTCTTGGATTGCACAATTGTGGGAAATTGAAAATGCAAATGATTGTCGTAAGCATCAAAACACGAGAGCACAGTGAGCTATCAGCCAAGAGTCTTGACGGATTTTGAAGGTCGCGCATGAAGTGAAATTAGATTAACCGCCTGGAAATGATTAACAGGTGCATATAAAAAAATGGCTCAAAACAACATTTATCAGATTGTCAACAAAGGGAGAAATTTGTGTCATAAATCGACAGCCAATGATAATAAATAGATTTTTACAATACAATAGAGACAGATGAATAGAGCCATAGATCGAACAAGGGTAAACCAAGGTTGTAAACAAAGGATAGCTAACTACTTATCTGTCTTGAGTGATAGCTACTTACGGACCCCTTTGTAAAGAGACAATTTCAATATGTCTCCTAAGAAATTATAGCCTTACATTCACAATTATGCCCATCACATGAATAGTTTTAATTAGTGTTTATAGTGTTAGTTAAAGGGCCCATATTACGCTATGTTCTAATCTTGTTTCTTCTTCAAAAACATACCGGAGTTGTGTTTTGTTTCATTCACAGGCTGAATTCTTCTCTCAAACTGAAAACATTAATACAGTAAGAGCCTCAGTATGTTTTTAAACTCCATACATTTTCATCTAGAATCATCTGGATGATTTTAGACCTGGAATTGCCACTACATGACATTACAAGGTGGAACAGAGTATTTTGAGCTAATAAAGGGTTACTCAAACATATGTGAGTGAAACAAAGCACAACTCTAGGTAAGTTTATAATGAGGTAAAACCATTCTAACATGGCTCAAAGCTCACAAGGGTCAAATTTGCATGATAAAGGACCTTTACAGAAGACATTTTATTTTATTTATTCAAGTATTAACTGTGTGAAACTATCATAGATCATTACAGCAAGCAAACGAGTAAGCTAATGATAGGAGACACCATTATAATATGATTTAAAACTCATAAACGTCAACTTTGCATAATATCTAATTTTCTCATATCTTGTTTATGTTCATCTGTCTACTCTGTTTTTTCATGTCTCACCTTACAAAGCTTACAATGCTTAGACACATATAGACACCACTGGTTTGCAACAGTCTCATTGGCACAGCTCCTCTGCTCTGGTGTACATTTTGTATGTGCATGTTTGACGTTTGAGTAGGTGTTGCAAATTCATAAGTGCCACAGGATTATTATCTGTGATGGTGGAGCCTCTGCCAGCGTCTCCCTCTTTAAGCACTTAGCAGAGCCGTGTATTTGCCTCTCTTCGATCTGCTCCAGTAATTGATGAAAATAAACTACGTCAGAACTATGAGACAATCATAAGATATCTAATAAAGCAGAATATGCCTAACTGCCGTGGAGGTTGGAGTGATTGGCTGTGAAATCAGACTTGACATAGAGAGGAGTCTATTTCAGCTCCGAGTCTTGTCTAACTCCTTCTGAGATCAGGATTCATCTTCACTGAAACACTTTGATCCAATTTGTCACATTTCATAATTGAGAGCTTATCTTTACAACACGGGGTGAAATTACACCAAACACATGTAAGCCAGATAGAGAGGCATCCATCTTTCCCTTTAGTTTAGACAATATCTGTATTCGACACAGACTTAGACAAACTTTAGCGATCCACAAGGGAAATGACTTAGACACAGTAGCTCACACATCACCATATATTATAATAACAAAGAGAATGGTATGTATGGTATCAACATTTTGAATAAATCATTACTTTGGTTGAATGGTTTGAATCTAAATACTAAAATGTGACTGTAAATGTCATCTTGAATTTAAAATATCTCACAAAAATGAAAGGGCTTCTATTAAGCTCTTTTCTGATCTATGTTATAATGTTGTTTCCTCATCAAAAACATACTCGGAGCTGTGTTTTGTTTCATTCACGCATGTTGACACACAAACTCTTCATATTTAGGCTGTGTTTTGCTCTCAAACTGAAAACACTTGTGATGTCATGTGGTGGTAATACAGGAACTGCTCCATTGTGTCTTTAAACTCCATACGCATTCACTACAATGATTTTGATGTAAACAAAACAAAATAAAAGGTAAAAGGTAGCTGTTAACTTTTCCAGCCTTTTTCTTACTCCCAAAATACTGAGAAAACAACAGCCCACATCTGTGTCAAAACTTATAAAGGATTCATAAGACTCAGATCCTACTGGGAGCTGGTTCTAAGGTTGAAAATATGCAAACAGATGCGGCCCAAATGCAGAGAGTGAAATGTAAATGTAATAATGTCTTACCTCATTCGGGAAGGTGTTTTGAGGACTACATTTCCCGGGAGTGAAAAGTAGAACTCAATTTCCATGGGGGTAATTTGCCTGATTAAATGTTGTGCTAATGTTTGTGGGATGGAGTTAGACCTTTGTGTGTGCTGATGAAGGGTGCACCGAAGCCAGGGAGGTGCTGTGTGTTGCCCATTACAGATGTGGGTATTTTTAGCCCTCTTCCTTTTTATCTAAACTCATTACTAAGCATATGGTGATGAGCAGGATTGCTCCAATAACTGTCTGCATACTGATAAACTACTTATGCTTGGTCTAAATGCCATTGCCTTGAAAACATATTAACTGCATTGCAATTGAAATTTAAAACACTGCAGATCAAGATAGGGTAGGCTGAAAAACATCACAAGCAGCATTCATTTCAGTATAGCCATGGTCTTTGTTCAATAATAAGAAGGAGAAGTTATATAATAGAAGTAATAAATGTTTAATCTAGCAGATATTTGTTTAGTTGAGTTAAAGATTAATTTAATCAGCTTTGAGGAGAGGATGCAGCACCTAGAATTTTTAGTAGGCAAAACAGTCCATTATAGTTAGTGTTATTGCTCCACATGATCTTCATAGGGAAGATGAGCTGAAGACATATCTTATGACAGACTTGACGAACTGATTCGCACTAAAGGAAATGTTGACACTCAGTGACACCCTGCAACACGGGGGAAAACACTTATACGCTTAGTAAAAATTAATCACCAATGTCTGGCTCTAAATCACATTTTAAGTGTTATTTTGAGAAGGACAACATAAAGAAGGTCAAACTCAAACTTCATAAATGACTTCACTTCTGCCAAGAGTTTTACTCTTAACAAATGTCAGAGCTGAAGCAAAACACTGGAGCATTATCTGTGGCATTTCAATTGGCAAATATCGGCACTTTTGGAAGTCGCTAGCAATTAACCTATTTGACAGGGATGGCTGCCTAGGCCTGTACGCATGCTTGTGCAAACAAGACTGTTAGTCATGAAAGATCCACAGCTTATCAGTTGTTTGTGATGTAACTTTGCTCTCTTCATTTCATATGATTTCCTTTGATAAAGTGTAGGCTATATGAGTGTGTTTTCCTACATTATGTGTTTAATGGCTTGAATTCGTAAAGTGGAACATTACCTCAGCCATGGGTGTGATGCTGTTGGTCTTGCGGGAGCCGATCCTGAACTTGGCTGCCTTGTAGATCTTCCAGTACACAAAGAGCACCACACACAGGGGCAGGTAGAAGGCGGAGAAGGTGGAGAAGATGGTGTAGGAGGGCTCCTGGCTCACCTGGCACTTCATCCCTTCTGAGTAGGTCTCGCCCCAGCCAAACAGTGGTGAGAGAGAGATAATGGATGACAGCACCCACGTCAGCGCAATCATGATGTTGGAGATCTTCTTGCGTGTCTTGAGTGTGTACTGCAGGTGCCTGGTGATAGACCAGTATCGGTCCAGTGCTATTGCAGTCACATTCCAGATGCTGGCCGTGCAGCACAGCACGTCAAAGGAGATCCACACCTGACACAGCACCCGGCCCAGTTTCCACAGCCTCCCGTTCAGCTCATGCACCAGGCTCAGAGGCATGACCAGAGCGGCCACCATCACATCTGAGATGGCCATGGAGGCCACCAGGTTATGAGGCACTCTATGGAAGGTCCTCACCCTCAGGATGGTTACCAGCACCAGCAGGTTCCACACGAAGGTGGCCACGGCCAGCATGGCCAGTAGCGTGAGCGTGAGCACGCTGAAGACAGAGAACGGTCTGTAGATGTTGCCTCCAGAGTCATATCCATCGAAAGCTCCACTGGAGTTTCCTGTCAAGAGGCTGCTGTTGGAGTGTGTCATGGTGCAGCTCACTGCCCTGCAGCCACAGAACGGGAGCAGGCTCTGTGTGTCAGTCTATGAGCCATCCTGTGGAACAGAGGAACAGAGGTTAAATCTCCTCTTATTCGCCGATAAATCATCACTTTTCCCTCCATTCAGCAGAATCAGCACTGGTGTCAATGCTACTAGACATGCATATGGCATGTTGCTGACAGCTACCTTGGTGATTTGTACAATAGTAAAGGTCCTTGAGTTGGAGCTGCTGTCACGTGACCTGCATACATCAAGGGCAGTTTCATCTACAGTGAAACATCGTGGTATTGGGAGAGATTGCACAGCTCCTCGCTCATGCCCATTCAAATGCATTGAAGCTTGACCCCCAACACAGATTAGAGCATCGCCATTGTGTGCTCTATCTATTATATTAAAATGTCAGACTGTCACATTTGTTTGCATGCCTCAAATGCTTACAGATGCTTAAACCCTTAAACAAGCAATAGTTCAGATTTTCTGTGAATTCTCTGTATCCATTTCAAATGCATCAAAGAAAGCCTTTGCATGTCTGCTTTACCCATGAATAGCTGTGGCTGCAGAGATACTGTTGAGATGAGCAGAGAAAAAGGATCTCAAATCAACAGGCACTACACAGTCTGCTGTTTCAGGGTCTGCATTGATCTTGGCAGCATGTAAACATGAAAGATGCACTGACTTAATCATAAGAATAAATAAATAATGTCAGGTTTTATAACATTTGAGAGAACACAGTATAATAAAAGGGGACATTTATGAGTGCTTAGAGTGCAGGGTTGGAAAATATATTACAATTTGCCTAATTAAAAAACTTCTAGGGGATTTGTGTATTTATCTTATAATAAGGTTTTATTCTTAATGCAAGCCAAACTCCTCTATTTTGTTCCAAATACATGGTTCATTTACTGATCTATTGTGTTGGCTTAAAGCACTTTTCTGTCACCTTGAATATGCAATTGTATCATTCATTTTACATGGCTGATGCAGTGACTAGCACAGGTTTCTTTTGGCTCTGTCTGAGTGCCCTTAATGAATGGAGCTAATGCATGTATTTCTGTTAAATAATTGGACCTAATTGATTTTCATTTAAATTAGAAGACTTAATCGATATCATTATATTCCTGTGCCTGTTTAGTCTGATGCTTTCGGCTGCAGCTAAAATATTCAGCACTAAGTTCTGACAAATGATTACTAATTTTGGCTAGACGTCAACATGTCATTACTAATTAATAAATGTGTCCAAAATACATGACGATCTACAATGGGCCAAATCTTTCTTTTCAGCTTCTCCCTCAAAGAATGCTACAGCTAAACTTAAACCAATTTCTCAGTTATGTCAGATGCCCTTCCCATAATTTACTTTGTACTTTGGTTTTTGATTGATTGTTCTATAAATATTGAAGAATGTATAAAATGCAGAGGGTAGCTGCGTTTCTCAAGGGAGATTTTTGATGTGTTTGAGCAAAAATTGTCTTGTCCCAGAACAGATAAATTGTAAAAGCAGCTCTTGGTGTTAAAAAGTGGATCGATGTGTGCTGCTGTCTGCATCTAATTAAAGCGTTTTATCGTCCGAGAACCAGTAAGTGCGCTGTTAGCATGCATGTTTTTTTTAGCTTTACCACTCTTGTCTCTGAAAGTTGTAAACTCATTCTTAAAGGTCCACTATGTAACTTTTTGGTTGGGGCTCCATCACCTGCTTGTTTCTATGGATATGCCATTGCTCTGCCTGAAATGTTCCGCATTATGACACTAACCAGTCCTACCTTACATTTATCAAATTAGAGGTGGTTTTATAGCTCAAAAATACCTTGAAAAACACACATTCTGGCTGTGAGCGGGGTTGCCTTTCCACAGATCTGACCCCCTAGTTTGGTCTGGTTTAATCTTCATGAAGTTAGAAATGTCAAATATTACAGACAAAGCAATAACATCTTCATGGAGAAAAGGATTTGACGGACCCTCAACCAGAAAAGTTACCTTTAACAAAATTTTGACTCATCCTTCAGTGCTGTTTGGGCTATTGTGAGGAGCATTGCCCATCCACAGTGCTGCTATTGTGCACTTTTTATATTGAAGAAACCAAAGGAAACAGGTACACTGACCCCAGCACAATAGAACACGTAGAAGGAAATGTGCTGTATTCTAGTCTTTCAGAACAGTGCAGCGGGTTGGCAGTCCCAGCAACAATGAGCATATGAGTGCATTTACGCTACATGACGACACCTCTTAGCATCACAAATGGTCCTCTCTAATCAAAGAGTTCAAGCGGCCGTGCGGTTGGCCCCTCTCTTCTCGCCGGTCTTATTAACAGCCATGAAATTGGACAACCGTTGTGAGAGGAATTGGCCATCAAACACGTCGTCCAGGTGCCCGTCACTGTCACTGCTGGGAGACAAAAGGAGTCCCCGTAAGCAGATGTGCATATATTACAGATAGATCCAGATAGGCCTTCTGCGTGACAGTCAAATTACTCAAATCGTTTTGTTTTTTTACATTCAGGCTGTTGAGAGCAAAGCTGTCAGATTTGTCAGTTTTATGTCTTGCCTAATAACCACCAGTTTAAAGGTGCACAATGCCATTTTTTGAGTGGGTGTCCATCACCTGTTTGAATGTCCCACAGCTCTACCTTGCATTTATTCAGTTACAGGTGGTTTTATAGCTCAAAAATACCAAGAAAAACAGACATTCTAACTGTAATTGGGGTTGCCTCTCCATAGATCTGACCTGTAACTTGGCCTGGTTTGGTCTCAATGAAGATAGAAAAGTTACCACACTGTGAAACATTCTAGAAAAGCAATACATCTCCTTGGAAAAAAGCATTTGATGGATCCTCCACCAGAAAAGTTACACAATGCCCCTTTAATGTTTACTATATGATATGAAGAATTATATTTTTTCATTTTTTTTTCTTCTTATTAATTCTTCTTCTCTTCTTCTTATTAATTTAGTATTATGATAGCAGTTGAGCTGTAGTTGTTCAAATAATCTATGTATGTGTTCCTTATCCTGCTTTGGGGTCATTGCTTTAAAGTAATTTTAATTTTATAATTTACTGTGATATTTTTTTGTAGCAATAGAAACTTAGAAATTAGAAAATCATGATAGTTCTAGTCTTGACAGTTGTTTCCTTGGCCTTATTTGCCCCAGAGTTGTGAGGATTTAAGTTGAGTGGAAAACTACAGGAAAAGGTTTTCGGACATGATAGTGTTTCACTTCTCATCTGGATCCTTGGACTACTGATGCAGAAGAGTTGTCTGCAGACATTTGTGACTCAGCGTCTTTTAAACGAAATGACTGATGATGTTATTTGTTTCTGCAATTAACGCCAGTGTCATGTTTAGATGGAAAAGTCTAATCTTTTCTAAATGACTCAGTCCATTCCATTAGTGCAAAAAGGGATGATTATATCTGTAGATCAGTTTGAAGTGAGATAAACTCATCTTCATTAATTAGTTGATAAATTATGGTTTACAGTTCACTTCACTTTGACTTAATCCCAACAGGAACTTTTTTGGGGGGGACAGTGGATAGACTTGCATAAAGAAACAGACTTAAAACCACTGTCATATTTAGTCATCTTCTTTTAACATGGACGACTGTACAGAGACAATAGTGAAACAGATTGTGCTTTGACCAGTTCCACCAGCCTCTTCTTCCACTGACGTAAATTTACCATGGTGTTAAGGCTGGTTAGTGTTCGATGACAATGATTAAATGCATGTATGTTCAGGAAATTAATACTTAAAACCTTTTAAACCAGTCGAGTCCTAGTTGCGTTTTGAAGTATTTCTGCATTTCCAAACTAAACATACATATTTCTTTCAATTGATTTACTGCACCTACAACGTTAAACAGCATTTTTATTTCTTTAATGGTTGTCAACTTTGAAAATGACATAGGCTATTTCAGTCTTTTGGTGTCAATCCCTGATAAAGATTGCACTAAAGTCTAAATCAACATTTCTCTCTGTCTTTCTATCCAAACAGTAAAAACAGTAAAACCCCATCATTCCACATGAACCTCAAATATAACACAACTTCACATTGTAAAACCTAGACTTTCCTTTACGGATTATCGTAGTGGTGACTTACACTGGCAGTTCAAAGAAAGAAGCTTATGTGTTCACACGCCTTGAGACTTCGCAGGTAAACAGTGTATCCATTGTAGTCGCTGGATTTAAAAAACCGCTGCACTTCAGAGAGAGGGAAAAGAAAAACAACAGGTCTTCTTTTGGCGTCACCAGCGTACCGTCTTCTGCGCTACGAGGAAAGTGGGCTCTGAGAACACCATAAAAGACATTTACTCAACATCTGCCCGCGCTCCTCCCACAGGGGCAGCCGCGTCAGGTCACGGTACTACGCGCAAAAAGACAAAAAATAGACTTGACACGGGCTTCTTATTCTCCAACAAAAGCCTCGCACGCGTCAGGCTCCTTGTAGAGACAGCCCGCTGAGCCGTCGCTATCACCGGAATACCAGCCGAGCTCTTGAAAGCAGCGCTATATTCTTCACCACACACTCGTGCCGTTCAAGTTGTTCCCTCTCGTTACGCGCGCTGTTTTCACGCCCCATGCTGTTACCCCGTACACTTTACATGTATTGAGTTGTTCAATGCGTAAAGTCAAACAAGTGGATGCAAAATTATCCAAATATGATGACAATAACAACCTGTACATACGCATACTTTTACCCGGTTGTAGAACACGTTTTGACCACTTTTTATTCACGTTAATGCTTCTTGTTAAATTCCTTGCTTTTGAATAGCGACCGTGCACTTGTTACACGAATCGCAAACACATCTCCACTTTGTCACACTCACCAAACGTCTCCCAACTTACCCGTAAACAGCTCAAAGATCCCCGCTTTCCTCCGCTCTCCTTACCGGATTCGCGCTCTGTAAAAGCCGGCGTAGCTCATGTGCTTTTGGCGTAAATACAGACAAAACCTCCAGCCGCTCGCATCGCTGAGAAAACGGATAAAAAGACAGCGTTG